GCAAGAAAGGCACTGATTGTCCTTTTTATAAACTATCTTTCCAAGGATGTCTGTAAAGCAAACAACCTTGAAAAATGAGAGATAGGGTCTCCTTCCATAGCAAATGAAAAGCATATTTACTGTCCTAATACTATAAAAAACTTGATTCCCTAAGCTCAGGGTTCTTTTCCTATAACACTAATACAACCCTACATGACTAATTCATGTCATGCTGTAGAAACTGTAATTTAGAAAATTGGCACAAAAATAGTAATACAGTAATCTCCCTTCTCCTGCAGGGGATACATCCCAAGTTCCCCAGTGAATGCCTGAAACCATAGACAGTACCAAACCCTAATGCAATATGTACTATGTTTTTTCTATCTGATAACTGAGATGGTTACTAAGAGAGTAACAGTCAGGTTGTGTATACAGCACGGATATGGATATGGATATGGATACGGATATGGATAAAGAGATGATTCGCATCCCGGCCAGGACTGAGCGGGATGGTGTGAGATTTCATCACACTACTCAAAATGGCATGCAACTCAAAACTAATGAATCGTTTATTTCTAAAATTTTCCATTTAATATTTTTGGATGGTGGTTGACTGTAGGTAACTAAAGCTATAGAAAATGAAACTGCAGATAAGGGGGTACTACTGGATTCTGGATTCTGCAACTGTTGTAAAAACTGTCTTTCATCTGTGGCCCAGGAGTCTTATCTCTCCTACCAGCATCCACAAAATTCTGACAAATTCACTATTATCTTGTCCTAAGAATGAAATCTCAGATCACTTACAGTTCTTGACAACTGTACTTTTAAATTTTGAAAGTTTTATACAAGTACATAAATATATGAATAAATTATAACTAAATATAAACAAAAAGTAATTTGTAATTTGATATTTACGTGGAAAAATGGCAACTTAGATTTAAAAAATCAGAAAGAATATAGAAACTTAATATTTAATGTATACCAAGTTGATCTCATAGATATCTATAGAACACTGTATAGCCAATAACTGCAGAAAACATTATTTTCAAATACTTATAAACATCTATGCTGACTCTCATTATTTATGGTAGTTATATTCTACAAAGTTGCTGTGAACATTGAATACGAAACCATCGCTCCTAGAGGAAATACAGGGTTAGGTTCCTGAGAGCATTTGGTCCATTTTTGTTAACTAAGAATATATAACTTTTGTCTTTTGTGTGTTTCTGTTTAAAGACACATTATTTAATATCTATTTTTTACAACTGATTATTTGCATGGTCTTTTAATGATTCCAACCAGGAGCTTTGGATGCCTATGTGTTCTGTAGGTTTGTTTGCCAATATTCTTGTTTAATAAACCCGTCTTGGCATTGAAAACCACTCTTCTACATAACCCTCTTCCTGTATAACACTTAACAGTATTTTTAAAATTCTGCGGAAGACTCCTGATCAGAAGAACCTGTATTGGATCCAAGTTTAACATTTTTCATGCCATGTCACCTTTTGAAATGCGCAAGTCAGCCAGCACTACCTGATATAACTTTAATATTCTCCTAACCCAGGGTAACGTGAGTTTGGCTTTCCTCACCAATGCTGTCCACGATGCATTATGGATCATCATTTCATGAATCCACCAATGTAACTGTTTTCTCATCTTTTTCACAGCTTCAAGACTATGAATGCTTTCTGTACTTTCTGAAGCAGCCTCATAGACAGATTGGCAAACTTCCTTCTTTTTCTGGTTGTACCATATTTTTTGATGTGTAACGTTGAACTTGCAGCCAACAGCATTGTAACTCATGTACGAAAAAGGTTTATCTACTTGTATTTTCTCCATAAGAAACGACAGCCTTCTCACACTCAGGACACCAAACAGCACCTCAGCACTATGCTTGGGGACCATTTTAAAAAACAAAATCACCAACAAAAAGTACAAAAATTGGAAAAATGTGACACTAAACACACCATGAAAAGAACACTTGTTTACAGTATTAAAGCTGAAACATGTCCAGGCACAGTGGCTCACGCCTGTAAAATCCCAGCACTTTGAGAGGCAGAGGCAGGCAGGTCACCAGAGGTCAGGAGTTCAAGACCAGCTTGACCAACATGGAGAAACCCCATCTCTACTAAAAACAGAAAAAATTAGCCTGGCATGGTGGCGCATGCCTGTAATCCTAGCTACTCAGGAGGCTGAGGCAGGAGCATCCGTTGAGCCCAGGAGGCAGAGGTTGCAGTGAGCTGAGATAGCGCCATTGCACTCCAGCCTGGGCAACAAGAGCGAAACTCTGTCCTAAAATAATAATTAAAAAAACTGAAACAAAAAGAGCTCCTTCAGCCTCAGCTAGAAACACAGGCAATGAGTGACAGCTTTTCACTGCTCTGTGCATGTCCTTGAATAATCACAAATGCACTGAGTTGTGACTTTTAAATTACAAATAAATTTTAAGTAGGTGAAATTGCAAACATAAAATCCGCCAATAATAACAATGAACTGTATACGCATAACTAAAACTGTATATGCATAAATTTAACCACACTATTTGATTTTGCCCTAATCAGGTTCTACCCTACCCCTGACTCTGCCCACAACCCACCCAGTACCTCTGGTAATAGGTGTCTGAGCGTCCGCAGGTAGCCCCTGACTTGCGGAAGACTTCACGGCGCTTCCAGCCAGGGCCCAGGGCTGGGCAGTCCAGCCAGTCCTCAGCCATGGAGGCCACGGGAAGCAGCAGTAGCCTGAAAGGGGGTGGAGGGGATGAGGGAAATTGAGGCTCTAGTAAGGGACAAAACTGTGCCTCAGGCCACACAAATCACTGGTATCCATTAGTGCTTGCCCAAGACCTAGGATCTGCCATCCCATTCTTTCCTATTCTGGGCCTAAGAGATCCTCATTCCTTAACCCAAGGGGCCCCATTTCTTATTCTCAGTGTCCTAATTCCCTACTCCTCTCTATCCTTGGACTGACATCCCATCATTTCTCCTCACTGCCAGTCCACAAACTTTCCATCCTTTCCCCTTATTCCTCCCTGTCATTGACCTAAGTGCCTCTATTCCTCTATTTTATCACCCCAAGACCCCTATACTCCCCATCCTCAAGCCCCAAAAGGCCCCATTTCTCTTGCTCTCACTACTTGACTTCAGTAGTCTTTCATTCCCCCTTCCTTGACCCAGGAGTTCCTAATTTCCCTCCTTCAGGGTTTTAACCATTCCACTCCTTCCTTGTCTGATGTCCTCTTATCCTGCTATCTCGGTGTTACAACCTCGACTTCCTCTGCGAGAAACACAACTGCTCCAACCCATGGCCTGAACAGCTCCTCATCTTTTCCATTCCTCACACTGGAAGCCTCCCATGCCTCCCCTTCCTCAGCCCAAGAGCTCCCCACTTATTTTTCTTTTCCTTCGATGTTCTGACCCACGATTTCTCCCCAGTGTCAGCCCCCAAACCTTCCTGTTTCTCTCCTCTACAGCCAAAAAGTTCCCCACTTTTCCCCTTCACTGTTCTCATCCTCCGTTCCTCTTTCATCATCTTGAGAGACCCTAATTTCTCCCCTCAGCATTCCGAACCCTCCCCCATTCTCTGTTCTTGTCCCAGGATCACGCCATCCCTAACTGTCAGCGTCCTGATCTCCTACTGCACCTCGTCCTCTATATGGGGCCCCCATCCCACCCTTTCAGCATTCCAGCGCTTCCATTTCTCCTGTCATCAGCCTGAGGGCCCCTCATTTCTCCGTCAGAGTTCTGAACCCCTATTTCTCTCTCAACTTCAGATGCCCTGATGTCTCCCTTCAGCATTCTGAACTCCACCATTCCACCCCGTCCTCACCCCAGGACCTCGACACTCCTACCTGTCACAGTTCTGAGCTCCATTCCTTTCCGTCCTCAGCCTAAATCCCCCCATTTCTCCTCGTCAGTATTCCGACGCCGCCATTCCTCCCCCTCATCGGCCTGAGGGCCCTCCATTCCACCCCGTCAGCGTTCTGAGCCTCAATTCCTCCCCATCCTCCTGAGCGCTCTCCACGTCCAGCCCCAAGGCTGTCTCACCAGTCTGGCACCAGACCGGTATCTTCCGCAGCTCTAGGCCCGTGGACCCAAGGCGAGGGTCCCTCCTGCGCCTTCCGCCTCGCCCTCCTCCCCTTCTTCCTCCTCTGCGGCCGCCTCCTCTGCTGCGGTAGCTGTCGCCTCCGCCGCTGTTCGTTGTTCCCGGAACCGGAAGCCCGCTGCCTGCCTCTCGGGCTCCGCCTCTGGCGATGCACCTGCGCGCTAATGCCTCGACGGCGCGTGCCCTTAGTAGGGAGGCTCCTGCGCCTGCGGACTAGCGCTCGGCAGCGGTGCACGCGCACCCTGCCAGGAAGGAGTTGCATCTGCGTGCTGACATTTAACGGCAGCTCGCGCCCAATCGAAGGACCAGGAGCCGCGGCGCCCCTCGCTTCCTCTCTGGCGTGCGCATGCGCTCTCCAGTCTAACCTGAGGGGAAGTGGTCGGGGAGGGCTTGCGCCTGCGCCCTGCGTTTCCTCCGGCGGCCTCCAAAGCGGATGCGGACGGCGGCAGGAAAGCTGGTTCACGCCTGCGCGCTCCTTGGCCCAGCCGGCACTGTACTCTCCCACCTCTCGCTGGGGTTGAGCCTGTGCCTCCAGGTCTCTCCGAACATCAACCCCAGGGTTGTCGTGTCCCGCTCTCTCCTCCCCGCTGAACCGCTGCAGGGGCACGCGGGCCGGGGAAGGGGGCGGTGCCGCTGCACCGCAGGTAAACTGAGGCACGCTGGAGGGCGCGCCCCTGCGGATCGTCAATATGAGGCTTGTGGGGAAAGAGCGGGGCCTGGCGTCCACAGCGGACGACAGCTCTGGGTGGGAGACAGGAGCACGCGCGGGCGGTGTCACCACACTGAATGCGCGTTGCGTAGACCCTATGCCCGTGGGAGGCTGGGAATGTGGGTCCCTGGGCTCTTTCCGGGTGCAGGCGCCCCCATCTTATCCAGGAGTTTGGAACAGTTGCAACCGCAGCAATGTGAAGACAGCTTCCTTAGTTTCTTCAAAATTTTATTAACAAAACCCAGGGAGGGGAGGCAAGAATGAGTGGACTCCGCAGCCCCACCAGGCACTGAACATGGAGACAGGGAAAAACCCTCTGATAAAGGCAGATGGGCGGTCAACCGGTGGATGGGCACAGGGAGAACCAGAGAAACTGATGAGTGGAGGAACGGACACGGGCACCGGGCACCTCCCCCATCTGGAATGCAGGGTGTGAGGGGTCCAGGCCAGGAGGCTCAGCGGTCGGCACTGGAGCGCAGGTCGGTAGTGAGGGGGTCGTGCTGGATCGTCTGGTGCAGCATCAGGGCCAGCAATCCCGCGCGGTTCGTCATGGCTGTGCGCACATTGCGTTCCTGCTCAAACAGCTCGTCCAGCTTGTACCACTGCCAAGGGAGCGGCAGGAGTCCTGAGCAGGCACTCCTGAAGTCCCGACTGCCCTCGGCCACATCCGGCATGGACACCTACCACATGCAGCACCAAAACCACACGGAAACCTACCACACGCACGCGCTCCAAGTCCACTTCTGCACGCCGCAGCTTCTCCCAGCAGTAATGGCGATTGCACTGGCGCTTGGGCAGGCGGCAGAAGTCACCTGTGAGCTCAAAGACATCACGTACAAGGGGGCACCCGCATACCTCATCGGCTGGCACCTGCAGGGGAGCCGGGGCGGGGATGAACAGCGGTGATAAGGGAGAATAGGAATGGGGGTTCAAGGAGGGAGAAGGGAAAGAATGGAGGATTCAGGGGATGGTGAGGAGGCATGAAAAAGGGGAGGAATGGAGAGTGAAGCAGCAGGGAAGGTGAGAGGAAAAAGTGAAGGAAAAGTTAAGGTGAAGAAGGAAGGGATGAATGTGGGACAGTGAGGCAGGGAAAAGGGGCAAAATAGGGGGAGCTGAGGGAAAACCTTACTTTGGGGTCCCGTGAGTGCTCGGGGCACAGCACCTGGAGCCGCTTACAGTATGTTTTACTCTGAGGATTATAGACATCACAGAAGAGTCGTGTAGCCCTGGAGGTTTGGAGTAGAGAGAGGGTAGTGGAGGGAGGGAAGAGAGGCCCACCTGTCCTTGCTGGTGCCCATATCCTGCCCCAGTGCCACACACATCCCAGTTCTGACCCCCGCCTTAACCCCCCACCTGTCACTCCACATGGCACCTTCACTTACCCTTCAATGCGTGTGGGGTACATGGACCCAAAGGACGTCTGGCTCTCATACTGGAGGGATGAGCACAAATGGAGGGAACTGTGGATGTGCACTGCATGCCCTCCCAAGACACCACCCAGACAACAAATCTGTCCCCCACTGGCCCGCTGATGTCCCCACATGGTCCGCCCCCTCAGTCTGACGCCCCAACCTTGGCATAGCAGCGCTCCATGTGGCGCAAGGCAACACGTGGGTTGATGGGGTGCCCACAGGAAACACAGAAGATCTGCAGGTCTGTGTCATCACTGTCACCCTCATTGCTCTGTATGGGGTGGAAGAAACAGTAAGGATGGGCAGGACAAAGTACTGGGCCCTGCCCCACTGCTCCCCTGCCTCACCTCCTCATCCTCGCGCACAGCCTGCTGCTTGGCACGCAGAATGATGGCCTCAAGCTCATGGAATCGGCGTTCCATTTCCTGAAGGCGAGTGCGGGCACTCTGCTGCTCTCGGCGAATGCGTTCGAGCAGCTTCTTGCCGTGCTCTTCGGCAATGCAAGGACTCTGCTGCCACTGCTGGATGCGCTGGGGGAGGATCTCGTAGATGCGGCTACAGGAAAGGTGGCAAGCAACAGAACGAGTGAGGTGATCAGTAAGTGAGGATGGCAAAATAGATGCATGACTAAATGGCAAATGGAGAAGTAAATAGGTGACTAGTAGAATGGTGGATGGATGGACACATGGGCAGATGGGTGGGTAGGTGGTTGGGTTGAGTGGGTAGTGGCTGTTTGGTGACTGAATGGTGGATAGCTGATTGACTGGTAGACAACAGAAGGCTGTGGTCAGGCCCTACCATGTACTTCCTAACTCCCTTGAACCCCCCCCCCAGGAATGACTCACTTGGCTGCCAGCTTCATGCCACAGTCATCTGAGCAATACTTGGAGCTGGGCTGGGCGGGGCGCACACAGCCGGGCCCCAGACACTGAGGCAGCGACGCAGGGTCCTTGGCATCATTCCTCTCTGGGTGTTTCCATTTATCCTTGTGTTTCTGCTTCTGCCGATGCCGCTTGTACCGCTCCTCCTTCTGTGGAGCAAGACAGGTCAGGTCAGGGTGGAGTCAGTCAGCCCCAGACCTGTCTCCTGCTCCATTCCAGCCCTTTCTGGCTCTTGCCCCATTCAGCCTCTGAGCTCTGCCTCTCCCTCAGCCCCACCCTCTGCCTTTCCACATCCATTTTACCCACTCCATCACCTTCTTCTCAGACTTCTTCTCCCGACGCTTCACATGCTTCACTTTCACTGCCCTCTTCCGCAGCGCGGGGTCCAGGAATGGGGACTCTTCTGTGTCGCTCATCCAGGGCTGCAAGCAGGGCATGCACTGACCCACCTGCCCCTCTCATGACAACCCCACCACCTACTCATGTCCCAAATCTACCCTCTGTCTCATTAGGGATACTCTCTGCTTCTGTCACCTCCACCCTTCCACCAGGGGATGTTCCTGTCTGCTCACCAGGCCGTGGTCATCAAAGGCCCCTGCACAGAAGTCCTGATACAGGTCAGGATCCAGAGGTAGGTCCTCATCTGAGAGTGGCTCAGGTGTGGCTGTAGCCTCAGGAGGCTCCTTGACTGCTGATGACGCCACTGCCCCCTCATCTTCACGCATGCGCCCTAACTTCTGTGACGGTTGTGGCTGCTGCTGGGTGGGCAGTGGCCGGCGGGGCCTTGGCAGGGACTCTGAGGGCGTCACTGGTGAGAGCTGCAGGGCAGAATCTCAGGACTGGCCCTGACCGCCCTGCCCGCATGCCCCGCCCTGCCCTGGGGGGCTGGACTCACCGAGGAAGGGAAGTACTTGTACGATTCCTGTGCCGGCAGGAGGAAGGCCCAGGTCAGCCCCAGGTGGATGGAGTGTGGCCTTGCCCTAGCCCCACCCACCTGGCCTGGCCTTGCCTCCCCAGACATAGCTCCCCGCTACCCCTCATTACCAGGATATGCTCAGCCCTGCCTGATCCTCACTGACATGCATGACCACCTGGAAACACCTGGCCCCACTCTGTCCACCCAGGGTTAGTGGGGTTTCTGCCAGCCCAACATACCTGGTCATGCCCCATTCATCTGGACATGACAGGCCCAATCCCACCTAGCCCATGCCTAGACTTAACTAACCCTGCATGGACCCACCAGCTCTCCCACACCTGACCCTGCCCAGCTCTGTCCACGCTCACCCGGGCCCGCAGCTGGCACTGGCGCAGCCGGCACTTCTGCCGGATCTTGTTGGGGCCTCCAAACTTTTTCATGTCCCGACAGAAGTCACAGTGACCACAGTCCTCAGTGCGCCGACATGCCTCGCACTCACCACACATGCGGGCGGATCGTTTGATCTGCTGCTGCTGATGATGATGCTGGAGGAAGGGGCCCAGAACAGAAATCATGGACCCAGGAGGGGCCGACATGGAACCACTTTACACATCCGCTCACTTTATACAGCCACTCACCTGGCTGGGTGTGGCCACCAAGGGCTGCGGAGAGGATTTGTGGGGTGAAGCAGAGCCCCGAGCAAGCATGGCCCCAACCCCTGTCCCTGACCCTGCCCGGCGCTGCAGGTCGGGATCCGGGACAGGCCTCTTGCGCCCTCCACCCTCATCCCGGGGCTCACTGCCGTCCCGCTCATTGCCATCCCGCTCCCGTGACTTCTTGTGCCGATAGCGAATCTCTAGCTTGGGGTCCTTCTCTGTGGGGCAGAGAGTAGGGCTAAGGTAAGCACTGGAGGGCGTGAATGATCCCAAAACGTCTTTATTCCCCTTCTCTCCCTTACTGTCCTACTTACCTACTCCGCACCTCTGTACACGACAGAGCTGTCCCTTCCCGTGGGATCTTCTATTACCACTCACAATGCAGCCCCCATTCCAGCTCACCACAGACATGTGTTACTACTCCCCATTATCCCCCACTGTGGCTCTCCCTCCTCCCCTGAAGCCCCACCTGCCTTCCTTGTCCATGCATGACCCTCACCTCGGCACTCCCGACAATACCACTCCCGGATGGCCTTGGCCATCTTCTCAGTGATCCGGATGCAGTCCCCATGGAACCACTCATTGCAATTGTCACACCCGCTGCAGAGGATGGGACAGGTGGTGAATATGTAAGGGGCACAGCCGATCGGCCTTACTACCCCACCCTGCCAGTGTCAGCCCCGCCCACCTCTCCCGGGCTCACATCATGAAGCAGTTGATGTCTGGTTTGCGGCAGATGCAGTAAATGGGCGCATTCTCCCCATTCTCCGACTTGCTGTCCTCCCCGGCATCTGGAGGCTCTGGGTCTGAACCATCACCCTCCTGCGGGACACCCCCATTACGGCTCCTTAAACAGCCCCCACCGTGGCGGCTCATCCCCGCGTTACAGCTCCACCACGGTCAGCATGGATCCCCACTCTGCCTGCAGATTTCCCATGGGAGCCCCCAAAAAGCCTCTCCACCACAGTCCCCACTGACTCCCATTACTCGGCTTCATACTTCCCATCACGCACCCACCGGCACCCGCTCCTTGTCTACACTCACTGGCGGGTCATCGAGACCCAACATCGTGGCGCCTCACAGACCCCGCCTAACTCACTCCTTGAACTTCCCATCACGGTTCTCCACTCATCCCTCCCTGTTTACCTCACAGACCCTCCCGGCACCCGCACCCCCAGTCTCAGCTGTCTACGGATACTCGGCCGCGGACTCTTCCTCATCACGGCTCACCACAGACCGCCCAAAGCGATTCCTCACAACCTCCTTATCCCTCTGCCCAAAGAACCCCCGATCGCGGTTTCCCACGGAACTGCCGGGTACCCGGAGTCCCCACTAAACTTCTATTACGGACCCCCACCGTGGCTCACCATAGAACTCCCAGATGGCTCATCATTCTGCCCGTAGACTCCCGCCGTTCTGTCCACAGACTCCGATTACCGCTCACCACAGACCCCCGAGTCGGCCGACAGACCCCAAGGTTGCCAACCCCACCGACCTCCGCCGCCGAATCCCTCGCTGGACGCGGTACTTACCATATCTCCGCTCCCGGCGCACTCCTTCACGACCCCCGCTGCGACCCGCGAACCTACACAGACCCCCTCAGCAGCGTCCCAGGCGGTTGCAAAGGCGCCCACAACTACTTCCGCTTCTGGTCACGCCTCCCAGGCAGCGTACTCCTATTGCGCAGGCCCCGTGCGCCGTCTCCGCCACCAACCATTAGGCGTCGCCATCTTGATTACGTATCCGTATGGTGGCCGGATCCATACGATCGGCGGGAACATGGCTGCGCTCACATCGTGGCTTTCGCAAGGGGGCCGCCACCTTGTCAGTAGAGTCCGTACGGTGGCTGCTGGTACTGTCTCGACGTACAGGCAACATGGCTGCATCTACTGCTTGACTTCCTCACAGATGCCGTCATGTTGGAATCTGATTCCGTACATGGGTCGAATTAGTACGGTTCTAGAAGACACATGGCGGCGACCTAATTGCGGATTCCTCAACGGCGCCGCCATCGTGATGGTTGATTACGTACACTGGCCGCTTGTCAGAGAGATTCACAGATAAAGCTGCCGCTCCCGAAACGCTACCTGGATCAAGTCTTATTCATTCCTCCAGTCTCCTTCTCTATCCACATGCTTTAATGAGGCGTCGACAGGCTACATGGCCTTACGCGGTGGAGGAAACCAGTTCTTCTGTCGTCTCCGACTTCACCTTTCCGGGTTTCACTCCTCCCACTTGTCATTCTTCTGCCGGGCCTGACACGGTTCAGCTTCTGTTTATTTTATTTTTATTTAAAAACAATTCTTAAACTAACATCAAATCTTATTTTAGTTCTATAAGCTGCACAATAAGCCTAAGCACAGTTTACTTACCCATTTCTTTGTTGCTTAGCATTTATAACATTTTCAAATGTTATTCTAAATTAAGTTGCAACGAACATTCTTAAACATAGATAGGTATGCTCATCCCTGATTATCTCTTGTGAAATGTGATATACAAAACGGTGTTACTCTGGTTAAGAGCTATAAAATGGAGCTTGGAAGGCTTTCTAAGGACTCCCTGCAAACTTGCAAAAAGGAAAACAAACCAAAACTAAAACACAACTGGAATTTGCCTCGAACTCTTGAATTGGTCCAAACTGCAAGGACCACACAGTCCTGGAAACCAGCTATATTTCACCAGTGCTGCGTCTCCTGAACAAAAACCAATGAACTATAGACTCATGCTGGCCAGCTGCCTCCAGCAATAATAATTCCTTTAAAAGAACTTGTGTAATCACCCTTAGTTTCCTTTTTATTTTTCTTAAAAACTCCTACTCCCCTTTCTCTCTTTGGAGCACAATCTGACTTCGAGCTGAATCTGGGTCTCCTGAATTGCAGTTCCTATGCCCCAATAAACTTCTGCCTTGCAGCTTGGTCTCTTGCCTCTTCTTAGTTGACACTCCTTAGAGATAACATTCTAAAAGTAGAATTACTTTATAATTGACTATAAATATTATAAGACATGTTAAAATTTATCAGAGGCCATTGGTTTGGACAGAGCTCCTGCAGGAGGCCGCAACAAAATGGAGTCACCCACACTACAGTTTCATGCCACCAAGCCAAAACTAAATTATCTGACCTTCCAAGAAATCAGGAGAAAGATACAGAATAATAGCTAAATCCCCAAACGAGCCACTTTTAGCTTGAAAATCCCCTCTGCTTTAACCCTTTTTTAAAAAGTAACCTGAAGCAACCTGATGTTAACCAGATTTTTAAAAACAATTGTTCTTTTTCCTCGCTCCCACCTTAAAAAATTCACTGTTCTGCTGTTTCCCAGGGGAAGCTCTCATTCTATTTTGTATAATGGGATCTGCCCCAATTAATGAATTGCAAGTAAAAGCTATTACATCTATAACTAAATTTGTTGTAATTTTGTTTCTTGATGGTTGATACATATATTTCTACCAGCACTGTATGAAGATTCCTATATTAGAGCCTTATTAGGTTATTAGATTAGTGCAAACTTTTGTTGTTGTTGAGAATGAGTCTCTCTCTGTTACCTAGGTTGGAGTGCAGTGGGCAATCTCTGCTCATTGCAACCTCTGCCTCCTGGGTTCAAGTGGTTCTCCTGCCTCAGCTTGCCAAGTAGCTGGGATTACAGGCAGGTGCCACCACACCTGGCTAATTTTTGTATTTTAGTAGAGATGGGTTTTCACCATGTTGGCCAGGCTGGTCTCAAATTCCTGACCTCAGGTGATTTGCCCGCCTCAGCCTTCCAAAGTGCTGGGATTACAGATGTGAGCCATCGAGCCTGGCTCACACTTATCACACTCAGGTTCCTAGAGAATCATCAATCGGTGCACCAGTTTTCTAATCCCAATCGCAAGTGATCCACCCACCTCAACCTCCCAAAGTGTTGGGATTACAGCCGTGAGCCACCGTGCCTGGCCAGTGCAAACTTCTAAATTCATCACCCCTGTCAGTAAAAAATTGTCAGCATCCACAGCCATTTTATAAATACTATACATTACCATACTAACACAGTGCAAAAATAAGCAACCACATAAAATACATATTTAAATGGATGAGGTAAATATAAACGTCTCTCATATTTTCTCAAACTTCCAGCTCCATGTGAGATGCTGCCCTTGGGGAGCTCCCAATTTACACTATTGGTGCTCACTTTGATCTGTGTGCAGTCTGGGATGGATATGATGAAGCAAACGAAGATTTGTATTATGTCAAACAGTAAATTTTTCATAAGTCTAGCTTGATGAGGATGGTAATAGTCATAATTTCAAAAACCTTCTATTTGCTTAGTGGTTTATAGTTCACAAGATACTTTCACACATGACAGCTTATCTGACCTAAATGCCTTATATGGTGAATGGAGCAGGAGTGTTATCGTCCCCACTCTACAGTGAAAGCAATTGAGACTCAGGGAGCCTAAGTCCCTTGCCAGGTCACACAGCCAGTAATAATGGATCTGACAATAATAGTAAAATCTTTCTACTATGAGTGCTGGGCTGTGAGCTGAAATCAGGGCATAGACTCTGGGTACTCCCAGGACGAGAGAAGCTAGGTGAAAAGGTTCATGAGGCAACCACAGAATGGAGCAGATTCTGAAAGTTAAGGGTCACAGTGGACCTGAGTCAGGAAATAGATCAGAAGTCCAGGGGATCAGACACCCCAGGAATCAGCATTAGAATCTTAGGCAGGAGAACAAACAACACAGAATGAGGAACCAACTACAGGATCTCAGCACAGGCGGGGTTCACAGGAATGGGAAAGGAGAGCCCAACTCTACCAAAGATTCCCGGGAGCGGAACGCAAGTCTTCCAGGCATTTCTTGCAAACAGCAAGGATAAGATAAATATTTGAAATTCAATGACAAAACCATGCTTAGCACTTCAATTCTAATTTGCCAGCAAGCACAGACAAAATCAGGACTGGAATCATTGACTGATGAATACAAGTTTTGCTTTCCGCAGTTTTAGTTACCCATGGTCAAGCATGGTCTGAAAATATTAAATAAAAAATTTCAGAGGGCTGAACTCAGTGGTTCATACCTGTAATCAGCACACTAGGAGGCTGAAGAGGGAGGATCCCTTGAGCCCAGGAGTTCAAAACCAGCCTGGGCAACATAGCAAGACTTCATCTCTACAAATAATAAAAAATTTAGCTGGGCATTGTAGCACGTGCCTGTGGTCCCAGCTATGCAGGAGGCTGAGGTGGGAGGATCACTTGAGCTCAGGCAGTCGAGGCTGCAGTGAGCCATGATTGCATTACTGAACTCCAGTCTGGATGACAGGAAGATCCTGTCTCAAAAAAGAAAGAAAGAAACAATTCATAAGTTTTAATTTCCCTGCTATTCTGAGTATTGTGATGAAATCTCATACCATGCCATTCCATTCCACCTGGAATGTAAATTATCCCTTTGTCCAGCCTATGTACCTGTTCCGTTTAGTTGAATTCTGTTTTTTTTTTAAACCAGTCCGAAAATCATTCTATTATAAAGACTATTAAATTCATTTACTGACATTGATATAATATTCAAATAAACCCAAAATTGGCTTTAAAAATCAGGGCTCAAGTTATCTGTAGATGCCTAGAGTCAGTGTGGATTATGTAGGGCAGGGCTGGGGTGGGGAGGGAGCAGAGTAGCATAGCAGAGGGCTAGGTCCTATTGAGTTAGAACTGGGAAGTCACCGTGCCATATCACAACAGTCTAAAACAACAGACTGTGTGCCTCTAATCTTTCTGGCATCTTGTGAATGTGGGAGGCAGGGACCAGGTCAAGAATTAAAGCAGGTACTCACTCTCCAAATGGACATAGGCGTCCAGAGCAGGAACCACGCCTAGATGCCGTTCAAGTGCGGGTAACTTGAGTAAGGAACATGGAGAAGCCAGGATGGGTGACAGTGGTGTTAACAACCACTTTGGCCCAGGGGAGAGACTGGACTTGAGAATAAGCAAAAGCAGTAGCCAGTAGGAAGGATATCCTTCAGAGCCTGGGCCATTCTATGCAGCATCCCTAGTCTGGAAAGGACCCAGACTCTGGATGGAAAGAAACTGTAGGTCTCTCATGAGGGTGATGTCCATTCAGACACAGCTTCAGAATTTGCTGAAACATGCCAGAAATGTAAGACCAAGGGATTCTATATCTATCTTATGTTTTCAAGGACACTGAAATATTCTGTGGCTTCTAAGACTTAAACTATTAAGTCATAGTTTTTAGAAGTATATTTTACAGTTCATGGCTTCAAAAACAAAGTGTTACAGCTTGGATTTGAGTCTAGGCTCTACCAACACTAGCTACTTGACATTGGACAGTCTTTGAGACTTTTTTCTCATCCACAAAAATTGGCAAAATTAACATCCTCCTAGAAAGTCATCTGAGAGAATATTAGGTCCAGAATGGGCACTCTCCAAAGAGTGTCATGCAGTAAAAGATTAACTCAGCAGGCCTTGAATGTTCAAACCTTCACATTAAAAAAAAAAAAAAATCTGGTCTTTGACTGGCTCTTGGGAGATAACCTTAAAGTGCCCAGAATTACTTACCTAATAAGAATATTTGACTGGGCATAGTGGCTCAGACCTATAATTCCAGCACTTTGGGAAGCTGAGTTTGGTGGATCACCTGAGGTCAGGAGTTCAAGACCAGCCTGGCCAATATGGTGAAACCCCATCTCTACTAAAAATACAAAAATTAGCCAGGCGTGGTGGCAGGTGTCTATAATCCCACCTACTTGGGAGTCTGAAGCAGGAGAATCACTTGAACCCTGGAGGTGGAGGCTGCAGTGAGATGAGATCTTGCCATGACACTCCAGGCTGGATGACAGAGTAAGACTCTGTCAGGAAAGAGAGAAAGAGAGAGAGAGAGAGAGAGAGAGAGAGAGAGAGAAAGAGAGAAAGAGAGAAAGAGAGAAAGAAAGAAAGAAAGAAAGAAAGAAAGAAAGAAAGAAAGAAAGAAAGAAAGAAGAAAGAAAGAAAGAAAGAAAGAAGAAAGAAAAGAAAGAAGGAAGGAAGGAAAGAAGGAAGGAAGGAAAGAAAGAGAAAGAAAGGAAGAGAAAGAAAGGAAGGTGGAAAGGAAGGAAGGGAGAAAGTTTATATTTACCTAGAATCTTGGGCCACACCAGATAGTTTATGATAACAATGTGATTTGTGGTGGGGACCTTGGGCCACATGGTATCAATATGACGTCTGGAGAGGCCAGAGACTGAGTAACCAAGGTCAGCAATGGCACCCTCCATACCTGTGTAACCAATCCCCCAATAAAAACTCTGGACACCAAAGCTCAGATAGAGCTTCCCTGGTTTGCAATGCTTCATTCACGTTGTCACAACACTGTTTCTGGGATAATTAAGTGC